GGATGAGATGAATGGAAAGGAGCTCAATGGAAAACAAATTTACGTTGGTCGAGCTCAGAAAAAAGTGGAACGGCAGACGGAACTTAAGCGCAAATTTGAACAGATGAAGCAAGATAGGATCACCAGATACCAGGGTGTTAACCTTTATGTGAAAAATCTTGATAATGGTATTGATGATGAACGTCTCCGGAAAGAGTTTTCTCCTTTTGGTACAATCACTGGTGCAAAGGTTATGATGGAGGGTGGTCGCAGCAAAGGGTTTGGTTTTGTATGTTTCTCCTCCCCAGAAGAAGCCACAAAAGCAGTTACAGAAATGAATGGTAGAATTGTGGCCACCAAGCCATTGTATGTAGCTTTAGCTCAGCGCAAAGAAGAGCGCCAGGCTCACCTCACTAACCAGTATATGCAGAGAATGGCAAGGGTAAGAGCTGTGCCCAGTCCTGTAATCAACCCCTACCAGCCAGCACCTCTTTCAGATTACTTCATGGCAGCTATCCGACAGACTCAGAACCGTGCTGCATGCTATCCTCCTAGCCAAATTGCTCAACTAAGACCAAGTCCTCGCTGGACTGCTCAGGGTGCCAGACCTCACCCATTCCAAAATATGCCCAGTGCTATCCGCCCAGCCGCTCCTAGACCACCATTTAGTACCATGAGACCAGCTTCTTCACAGGTTTCATGAGTCATGTCGACACAGCGTGTTGCTAACACATCAACACAGACGCTGGGGCCACGTCCTGCGGCGGCACCTGCTGTCCGCACCGTTCCACAGAATAAGTACGCTGCGGGGGTTCGCAATCCTCAACAGCATCTTAATGCGCAGCCACGAGTTACCGTGCAGCAGCCTGCTGTTCATGTACAAGGTCAGGAGCCTTTGACTGCTTTCACGTTGGCATCTGCCCCTCCTCAAGAGCAAAAGCAAATGTTGGGTGAACGGCTCTTTCCTCTAATTCAAGCCATGCACCCTACTCTTGCTGGTAAAATCACTGGCATGTTGTTGGAGAATGGTAATTCAGAACTTCTTCATATGTTTGAGTCTCCAGAGTCTCTCCGTTCTCAAGTTGATGAAGCTGTAGCTGTACTACAAGCCCACCGAGCTAAAGAGGCTGCCCAGAAAGCAGCTAACAGTGCCACTGGTATTCCAACTGTTTAAAATTGATCAGGGACCCCGAAAAGAAACTCGTGCTTCCCGGAAGAAAAATATCTAAACATCGAAAAACTTAAACATTATGGAAAAAAATTGCAAAATATAAAATAAATAAAAAAAGGAAAGGAAACTTTGAACCTTATGTACCAAGCAAATGCCAGGTCTAGCAAAAATAATGCTAGTCCTAGATTACTTATTGATTTAAAAACAACAAAAAACCCCACAAAAAAAAGGTAAAATATAAAAACAAATTAATGTTTTATAGACCTTGGGAAAAAGAATTTTCAGCAAAGTACAAAAATTTAAAGTATTCCTTTCTTTAATTTTGTAATTCTTTACTGTGGAATAGCTCAGAATGTCACTTATTTTTTTTTTTTTTAAGATTTTATTTATTTATTTGACAGAGAGACACAGCGAGAGAGGGAACACAAGCAGGGGGAGTGGGAGAGGGAGAAGCAGGCCTCCCGCAGAGCAGGGAGCCAGACGCA